AAAGAAATAATTTCCCATATATATATATATGTGTGTGTGTGTCGCCTGGTGTGACTCTTTGGTTGACAGAGTTTGTTAGACCCCTGGGGTCATTGTTTCGATCACGTCTATGTACGTAATAGAATTTTTAGGCATATGAGGTTGGTCGAGAGGCTCGTCTAATAGCCTCTGGCCAACCTTATATATAATACACTACTGGCAATAGCTCCCAAAAACTTTCATTTTTTCATAATAATTGCACAGTTATATTTGCAGATAGATGTACCCTCCTCAAACAAATCTTAGAAGGAGCATTTACATACATACCAAATAACTCTTATCTATTCACATATATAATGCCTATTCACATTTACATATATAAAACCCAAATCTTTAACATCACATCAAACACACCGTCATTTATAACTTTTTAAAAGTGAAATACATATTTTCATGGTTTATGACAACAAAGTGGTTATGAGTGTAAACATTAAATTTTGACACTGTTAATATGTGACATGCAGCTCAAATCTTGCCTTCTGCTTCACATTGATGGATCCACATCAGTTGCAGAGAATAATGGCCGCCAGGTAATGTTAAAATAAAATAAAAATTAAAAATTAAAAAGAAATAGAAGAAAGTGATCCCGAATAGACCCTATGTTTCTGAACATTTCAACGAAGAAGTCTTTTACCTTTGACTGCAGATGCTCACTTACGGGCGCGTGGTGCCATTTTTAGAGCTCTTTGCGCGCATTGATGCTGTTGATGCTGGCACTGTAAAGAATATTGCAAGAAAATTCATAATAAATCAGGTAATATTATCTCGCTCTATTTTAGTTTTATTTTATCTTCGGCACCATCAATTTTATTGTAATTATTTAGGGTCGATTTTATAAATTTGGATTCTTTATTCATATTTTCGTGCAAAGGCTTTAGACATATAATGAGCGCTTGGTAGTTGGGTGTATTGTATTATTATAAGATTATTGGAGGGTTGTTAGGCTTCTTTATATGCTTAAACTAATGCCTTTTGTGTGAAAGAATATCACGTGCGGAGTTCACATGCAGTATTACATTCGGACTCTACACAAAATACGTGCACAACATTTATAACGATTATAACGTTCTACTCGAATTTTTTGCATTGTTTGAATGTAATTCTACGCCCGGACTCCACACGTAATATTTTCTCATTCATGAAAACATAAATGTCAAAGGCAATGGTGAAAAAGTAATAAAGGGTTGTTCATGTAATACCACGGAATTCTCATATATTTACTGTCTAATACCTAAAGCAAACTTTCATATCACTTAAAGTTTAGAGGTTAGATATGTAAATAAATAAAAATTAAGGGGCTTGTATGTACATCTTTATTTTTTTATCTTCAGGATGTGGCTGTTGCTGCCATGGGACCAGTTGAAGGATTGCCAGAACATGGCTGGTTTCAGTCACAAGTTCATGATGAGGAACACTGACTTTAAAAAAAATATATTACAGTATTCTGTAAAATTCAGTATTGTTCTGTATTGATTGTTGTAATCTTAGATTATGATACTGTAATTAAAAATTTTTTTCGGAGTTTAATGTAACTGTTTGTGATTTATTGATTCAATTATGTTTGTAATGAAGTTTGATTGAATGTTCTATTAGCGGCATTTACATACGAAAAAATATTACATTAGGACTCCGTACGTAGAGTAACGTGCGAAGTCCAATGACAGAGAAATATTAATCCCGTATTATTCAGATGTTATTGTGTGTTATTCAAGCGTTATAGATGTGTTATTGTGTTATTATAACACCATAAATATTTTCAGAACACAATAACACATGAATAACACGGGGGATATTCCACTGTATTACCAGGAATATTCCCCTGTGGCGGCTGAATTTCTTGGACTCCACACGTTACTCTACGTGCGGATTCCCGATGTAATATTTTTTCTTTACATACAAAGTGCATTTTTTTTTATGTATTTATATATCTAACCTCCAAATTTACATGCATGTGACACAACTTTTATTTATTTACATATGTACATCTAAACTCTCATAATTACATGTATGATAAAATTTTTAACTTCAATATAAAAGTGTTAGCGTCAGTATCTCTTTAAAAGGGCATAGGTTCGAGGCACTATTATGTTATTAGTGTAAATATCAAAAAGTGTGCTATGTGCATGTGAATACATAACAAGAACTTAAATATTGCAAGACATACCAAGTGGTTAAGGTGATAAATTTTTTTTAAACTGTGTAAATTTATGAATGATAGCAATAAAATTGGTAGTAGTGTGGTGTTATATTCTTTTTTGAAATGTTTTGGATTTGTTTTGTTCGGTATAAAATAAATGATTTTTTTTTTAAAGTAAATTGAAAATAATGTATTTCAGAAGTAATACGTTTGTTGGCGGCAACGTAAGACCGTGATCTGTGGGGATGATGGCGGTCTGTGGGGGGCGGGCGGTGAGGACTGGCAGGGTCTGGTGACAACGGGGATTGGAGGGTATTGGTGGTGGCTGGCAGTGGAGTTGTTGGTGAAGGGGGTCGGTAGGGCGATTGATGTCATTTTACATTAAGTCGTGCTTTTGGAATTTGCCCAAATCGAGTGAACTTTAAATTCAAAGAAAATGAGCTGACGATTGAATTTTAAGTACAAAACTAAAACTCTGTACAATAAAACTCTCAAATTAATAGAAAATGTTGAGAGCGGAGAAAGCCACCAACTTTATATGAAGAACATATACGACGACACGGACAATTCACAACTCGCCGAATGAGACATTTTTAAACTCTTTCCTGAAAAGATTATGAAGTAGTATTTTGTTTATTATGAATGTTAGTTTTTGGAAATTAGCGGGTTATGCACATTAACATGCTAACATACAACCCACAAAATTATTCGAGTTCCTTTTTTTGTGCCATCGTTGATCATGTGAAAACTAACAGTCTAGAGGAGAATGGTTTGACGAGGGAAGGCTCATGGATAAAAGAACGTGAGCCTCACCTATCAGACTGAGTTCATCCGTCTAAGCTTTTAGGCAACACGAGACTATTAGGGAATATTAGGATATTTTTTAGTCAACCTACATTTTTTCCTTGTTTGAGCATGCTTTTTTCTCATGGACGTGACTTATCTAACATGGAGACAATTTATAAATGCTATATAAGGGTAGTTTCACTTTCAAGTAACTCTGAGTATAATTGTTTAAACAAGAAAAAATTACAAACAAGTCCAATTTGCTGTCAAGCACGATCGGATTTCCATTTTATGAATGTCTTCGCATTGTGCACATTGCATGAATTTTAAATTGGAATTGTCGAGAGGACATCCACACTATCGGCTCAATCAACTATCTTCGTTGATCCAATTGATCAGTCGTCATTGGTCCAATTAGTCAAACTATCTTCGTTGATCAGATCGATCAACCGCCACCGATCAGATTAACTCAGACAACCATTTTTGTCGGTTTGACTGATCAACCACTATTTTCGTCATATTATTTTCTTATAATATTTTATTTCATAAGAATATATTTTAATTTTCTTAAAAAATAGTACTACTATTTTTTATGCGATCTTCAAAAGTTTTTGGAGTTTTTGGTGTTATGCATGTAAATATGAAAAATTTTAGTGTTACATTTGTAAAATTATAAAATTATGTGACATGGATTTAAATTCCCTTTCTTTCCTTTTCCGCGCTCCTGCAAAACCTAAAACCCTAAACCCCCTGCCGCCCTCAAATTCGGAAAAATAAACCCGATTTATTTTCTTCAAATTCGCTTCACCATGTATCGCGTTGCTGCTGCGCTGGCTTCTTCCGTAGCGAGGTCCGCATTCGATCTCCCATCCTTTTTCTTGTTATCTTAACCAATTCATGGCAGCTTCTAATCCTAACTGTCTTCCTCTTTCTCATAACAGAGCCTCTGTTTCCAAGAATCAGGTAAGATAGAGCAGCTTTTCTGATCGAGCTTATCTTTCAACTCTTTCTTCTTCTAAGCATATGCAGTGGCGCAGGTGTGGGGTGGCAGAATACTTTTACGCAGGGACTATTCAGCAAAGGATGTCAATTTTGGGGTTGGTGTTAGAGCCGCGATGCTGCAGGGGGTTAATGAACTCGCCGAGGCCGTGAAGGTCACCATGGGGCCAAAGGTGAGATGTTTTTAGTAACATCCTGAGACCATTCGGCGAGAATTGTGTATAGTCTTTGTGTTATTTTTTTTTATTATCATTCTTTGATATCAATTTAGAAAAAAAAAATCAGTAATTTGTTATGAAAGCCACTGGAATCTTTATTTGATTAAGGCGGAGAACTTTGTCGAGATGATCAAGAGCTCAGTACAAGATGATGAGGGTATTGTATGCCAATTCATGTTTTATATTTTAAGTGGAAATGTTTTATTTTAATGGTGGATGACATACCATTTTTACCCTGCGGTTTGATCAATTAATGAATCAATTGTGACTTCAAATTTTCTCTGGTGGTTGCTTTATTGCCTAATATTTTCTATAGACATATATTGATGTCCTTGAATTTCTTCAAGCGTTGACTCCTCCTCCATAGCAAATATTGCAATACTTTCATGACGACATAATAATATATTAAAAAAATTCTTATTTATTTACATATCTAACTCCTAAACTTTACTTTTTACATTTATACTAGCCAAATCTTTCATATCATATAAAAATACCATTTTTTTAACTTAAAAAAAGTGAAATAAACCTTTTCATGCCTTAGGTAAGATGGTATGCATGTAAAAATTGAAGTTTAGGTGTTAGATTGTAGATACATAGGAATTGAGTGGTGGGTATGTTAAGCCCCCTAAAAAAAAGGAACTTATGTCATGATCTAGTTTTGTTCACATATTCAAGCTTAAATTGTCTTCAATTTATAGTAACAACCTTGATGTTTAACATGCATTTTTATTTAAGCTATTCCTCTTATTTTTCTTAAAATAAATATCGAGTATAGTGGTAGAACCACTAATCATGCGGCTAAGAATTTCTTTGTTTTCAAATGCCATTCATTTAGTCTTTTATGTGGTGGTTGGTTCCTTGAATTTTCCTTTATAGAATGCAATGTTATTCAAAATGATGTTATTTTGTTGGGGTATTTACATACATAGCACACAACATTGTCCATACAACTAATTAATAAGCCTATTATAATATCGATAAAATTTGAATTTATTTAATAAATTTTGGCATATTTTATGATTGGTTTTTAACCCAATCAACACACATTTATTATTTTTTTCTTGAGATTGCAATGATAATTTTTGAAAGAAATAATTTCCCAAGGTTGCAATGGTTGAATTTTAAAATTGTGAAGTTATGAAATGGTTGACTATAGGCTGTCAGCTTCATTATAAAAATAGGATTAATTTGTTGATTTCTAAACTTATTGAAAAGATGAAACATAAGAAATGTGAATGTTATATTTTATAAGATAGGAGGCAAACTAAAATGCTATAGTTGAGTTGAGTCCAACCTTTTATTCTTTGGGCTTAAGTATTCAAACGTGCGATCTTTCGACGTAGGAGAAAATGTTCAACCATAGGGCCACCGTCTTAATCGCATATTTGGGTCAAGATGTAATTCTATTATGAAGACTTTTGTAGAAGTTTTAGTAGAGCCGAAAAAATAGATAATATATAAGGATGTCTCAAGAGAGAGCGAGGAGTTACAGACGTTTATCAAAAAAGAAAAAAAAGTGCTTTTAAACAGTGACAAATAAATATATTTTTGAGGTTCATAATAATTTTATTAAAACTAACAAATTTTCAAAGAGAATTTTAAGCAAAATAAAAGATACAACTCTTAATGATTCTTATTGGTCTAGAGAACTTGGAAAAATTATATAATATGTAAGACAATAGATAAGAGATTTAGATACTTTGGTCAGCTAAAAATCGTAACACTAAAATCTTAGAGATCAATGATAAAACAATAAAAATATATATAATTTTTAAGTCTTCTTGTCATGTAATTAAACTTACAAGTTACATTGTTGATTTTTTCAAAACACAAGATATATGATGAAATTGATTGACATGGGACGTCCTTTTTCCTGGACGGGTTTTGTCCTAGGCTTTTGAGTGCCGACAAACTCTCGTCTTGCGAGTACTGCCTCCTTTTAAGAGGTGGCCCACTTTTAGTTATCTAGGAATATATATTTGCTTTTTTTAGCATTTAGGATTTAGTTTTTCCTGTGATTTGCTTTGGGACAGCCGTCGGCGTCTCCTTTTTCTTTTCTATGGTTGTATCCTAGGGTTCTAAGTGGTGCTCTAGCTGTATTTTGGTCTTCAGGTGATGTGTATCCCATTCTATCTCTCCCCTACTATCTCCTACATCGATTCCCTTTACCCTCGCTGCTTTACTCTTGCTGCCACCTTGCCTAACCCCTTCCTCCTTTCTGCCTTCTCCTAGAAAAACCTCTTCTATGGCTGTTTCCAGCTTGCTAGATGCTCCTTCCGACCACCCGGGAGGTCCAAACCTTGACCGACACCACCGACACCCTAGATCCTACGCTGGTTTTTTGTTGTCGTTTTGCTGCAATTTTATATTTACGTGCTATTTGTTCTAATTTTAGACTTTGAATTCAATAATAATATTTATTTTCCCTTGTGTATTTGTTAAATTTTAGTATCATTGATGGTTGTTGTTTGATGTTCTAGAGAGATGACTTTTTTCTATGAGGATATTCACACTATAGGGGAGTTTTGGTTGGCTTTAACTTGGTACTTAATTGTGGAGGCATCCACAGATTAGGTTGTTTAAGGTGGAGGGCTTTTGCAGGGATGAGGAGATTACCGGAAAGAAGGGTTCTTAAACCATACAATGGAGGTACTATATGTGAAGATATCACGGCTCTTCACTCTGGCTTAAAAGAAAGCCACCTTATGCATATAACTAATGACACACAATCATAATGCAGTTTTGTCTTTTAAAAGATTGGCTAAAATTGTTATATATCCCTATCCAGGCCTATGAGGGTGCAGTTTGAGCTGCCAATTTTTAGAAAGCTACATTCACAGAGTTTTTTGGTGCATTTAAGTACTAGGAAGCATGAGCACTTTAAAATGTTTGAGTTCATGTGAGCATGCCGTCAACATGCCTTAAACATATGTTCAACACACTTAAATTGTGTCCTAGGTATCTCTTGCCAAAATTAGAGTCGAGCATAGGGCAGTCATAAAAGCTACTGGCGCGAGATGCACAAGGGACATGCTCCATGTCTTTTTCGTTGCAATATTTTTGAGTTAAGTTCAATAATATGCTATTCTGAATTTTGATTTGGTATTACTTAAAGCCCCTTTTAAATCTTCATGAAATTTTTGTTGTGCTTGGGTTCCTTCTCTCTCAACACAAGTCCAATTTCATTAGCTTTCTCTATTATCCGCGTTCTCATTCCATCTCAATGAGCCGTCACATGTTCTTCTTTTGCCAACAATTCTTCTCTCTTATACTTATTGCTCTGCCATTTCTCATGCTAGTGATGATCTCAATCTCTTTGTGTTGCCTTCAAAAACCAATCTATCACCTTTTTTGGCAATGCTATTTTTGTAGATATTGCTAAATGATTCACATTCATAATGCAACAATTATTGTCTTTTAAAGGGCTCAAGAACATCACTTCATAACTCTGTTGATGCTTGTGAGGGTATGCCTTGAGCCACCACTTTTCTTAATGGTTACATTTGCTTGGTGGGTTTTGGGTGCATTCAACTATGGAGCGCAGACACTTAAGAATACTTATGATGTTGGTGTTGAACACACCTTTGGCCCACTTTGATTTATGTTGACACACTTGATGTAGTGTTCAAGATATTTCTTGTGAAAATCTAAGTCAGGTACATAACAAATAAGGACATTGACTTGTGCGGGATGTAAAAGGGTCACTTTAAGCATTTTATATTCAATATTACTTAAAAAGACTTTTTTTTTAATCTCCCTTTGGTTTCCAGGTTCCTTCTTGCTCACTTCAGTTTGTGTAATTCCTAATTAACCCGTTGTCTCTTATATCAGCGATCTCATTCCATCTCAACAAGCTTTCATGCTCTGCTCTCCCACTATTCCTTTTGTCGAGTCAGTTGCTCTTATACCATTTCTTATGCCATTTTGATGCTGTTAATCTCCACTGTGATGTGTACCTAGAATTTTTTTCTTTGACTTGGTGGCACTTTCTCTCTCCTCTACTCATGTATGGCTTTAACTCCCCTCCCTTAACTCTAATTTTAGATTATGGATTTGACTTAGCGTTCTTGATCTATAGATATTACCTGATTTGTTTTTTTTCTTTTAATGTGTTCATACTTTGTGGCTATTTTGAGCAGAGCATTATTCTTTTTCTATGATTTTTTGACATGTTGTGGGCAATATTGTTTATTCAATCATTTATAATGATTTAATGGATGCTATTGTTGGTGATTTGCTAACAATTGACACACTTCAACAACAACAGTAACAACAAGCCTTTATCTCATTGAGTGGCGTTGGCCAAACAATTATTACACTAGATGAAATTTAATTATCATTTAAACATTATGCATTTTTTGATTATGTACAACCTCATAGCATAAATGTCCATGTGTCTCTCCCTAGTTGTGGAAGACCATACCTTCGGACTAAAGTCTTTATAGTTTAACTTGAGAGAATTTAACTTGAGATTTATGGCCTTCTGATGAGTTATAATTATTCCAGGAAGATTCATAGTCTTCTATCGAGTTATAATTATTATAGTTTTTGATTTCTAGCTTCATTCTGATGATAGTGCTATAAGTAAACTTGTAAATGGAATATTCAAGCTTTAAATAGTGTCTTCAAACTCTTTTCTTAGCCCAAGCATATTATTACAAGTGAAGGTGATAAAGAATAAACTTTTGGGCAGTGTTAAAAAATAATTTTGTTTCTATATTGGTATTAAATCTGTTCTTGGTTATAGGGTCGCAATGTAATCATTGAGAAGACCAACAAGGATCCTAAAATCACAAAAGATGGAGTCTCTGTTGCAAAAAGTATTGAGTTCAAGGAGAGAGCAAAAAATATTGGGGCAAACCTTGTAAAGCAGGTTGCTAGTGCTACAAACAAAGCTGCTGGAGATGGTAATATTCAATTAATTTATGGAAATTTTACACATACCACACAATTCTTATGCATTTACATATGTAACACCTAAAGTTTGTTACATTTATAGCACTTTGGTGCTAATCTATGAACTTATGTATGATAATATGTATTTCACTTTTAAAAAGTTAATATTGGTGGTATATTTGATGAGATGTTAAAAATTTGAGTGGTATGCATGTAAATAGGAAAGTTTAGGTGTTGGATATGTAAATATATAAGAATTGTGTGGTATGTATGTAAATGCCCAATTTATTGTTGGTGTTTTGTTTTTTTGCAATCTACATTAGGCTCTGAATATTGGATTTATTTCCCATCTTGTTCATCATTATGTATTTCTTTTGTCAAGGAAAAATATGAATATTATTTAACACTTTTATATTACATTTTGATAGGATTAGGCAGAAAAGTATGTTGCACGGATATGGCCACAGAGATACAGACATGACATAACATGACATAGATATGTGACACTTTTCTTATTAAAAATATAGGACATGAACTGGGGCCAGACATGCCATTAATTTATATATATGCATGTGTGTGTGTATATATATATAAATATAATAAAATATTAAGAAAAATAAAAAAAGCAAATAAGAAATTTATAGCATTATCCTTCAAAAATTAAAATATCCATAATGATAAAAACTAGCCCAGGAGAGTGATTGATGAATTGCTCAAGCTCGTCGGGATAATAAATTATATGAAAAAGTGGAACAAATATGTTTAATATTTAAATAAAAATATATATATTTTTTATTTTAACTTTTAAAAAATATACCATAGATTTTTAAAAGAAATTTTAAATTTTTTTTAATTCACTCTTTTAAGACACGCATGTCTGACATGTGTCTGGGGCGTGTTAGGCTAGTATTAGTTTCCGTCACTGCACAACTTTTTAGTCAGAAGTGTATGTGCATCATTGGCAGAAAATGTGAATCTTGTCCCATGAATGTTTGCACTTTGGTGGGAATGAGTTTGTTAAATATACGCTTAATTTGATCAATGAGTTGCGTTGTCCTAGTTGACTAGAAAAGTCATCATGAGAACTCCAAATATTATATTTTCCCATTTTCTTATATTAAATTACACATTATTAATATTGATACCGATGTTAACCCAAACCACAACGTAAGACGACAAACATTATTGAATAAAAACAATGATACAATGAAGACTCAGAGGAAAGGAAAATAACCCTATAAAGAAAAAGTGCAAAAAAATGACACATCAATGAAGACACAACAAGCTTGTTGAGGAGGGAGTCCGGGTGGTGTTTCAAGGCAGGCGTCTGGGGTGAAGGCCAGAGAGACATCTGGAAGAAGGTCTAATAACAACAACATGAGAGGAGTCCTGATGGAAGGCATCAAGGTGGCGGCCTGCTGGGTGCTAAGTGGCACCTGGGAAGAGCCGAACGACTGCTGGAAAGGGTTGTATGGCTGCTGTGAAGAGTTGATGGTGTCTTGGAAGGATGTCAACGCGAAGGACAGCGACAGGAGAGGAGTCCTGCTGGATGGCAGCAAGGTGGCAGCCTGCTGGGTGGTAGGAGACTGCTGGGAAGAGCCGAATGGTGCGCTGAAAGGAGGTCGACACGAAGGACAAGAACGGAAGAGGAGTGCCGTTGGAGGACATCAAGGTGGAGGCTTGGTGAAGGGCTGACAAGCGGACTGATAACAGTAGGAAGGGTTGAAGAATAGATAAATATCTCGTCGGGTCGAGGTACAACCAGAACATCACCCGGACCCGTGGAGACGATCGCCGCCTTGGACAAGGGACGACCGGAGCACTACCTTGACGTCAGATACAACCCATGAAGGGGAAATTACCAAAGCTAAACCAAAATTCAGATGCAAAACAATGATTTCATTTTTGACACGTTGGACCTCTCTCCGTGGGGGCAACTCAGAAGGCGGTCTATACATTTGAAAAATCTGCATCTCGCTTATCCATGCTGGAACTCTATATGATGTTGGCTCATCAAACTCATAACTCTTATAGACATCCAAGATCATCCTTTTTGATGTTCCTCACACCGTTTGCAAGATGCAAGATTGAGGAGCCATAATCTCTTGCTTTGCTAGGCTGCCCTATATCTCAGAGTCACTACCTTCTAGAGTAACAACTGTTTCCTCTGTTGGAATCTCTATCTCGGGGTCAACTGGATTTGGTGACATCTCTTCATTGGTAATTGAAAAATAAGAAATCTCTCTTAAGTTTTTATTTTCTTCTTGATCACAGTTCATCCCTTCAACTGGGAATTGGTACTCCTCATTTATGTCCCCTCCGTCTTCAGTGTCTGCGGTGTCTTTACCCGACTTTTTGATGACGCCTTGCTCGGTAAAGTAGATCACTGCCCTAGTTGTGCATTCTGCTTCAACATGTCCAAGTCCGTGGCACTTGCCACATTTTCTGGCTATGACAAACTTGCAGATTGGTTTCGCTGGATAGTGGCCAGGGGGTTGCTTGGTGTTGCAGTCTCTCCACGTGGGAAGCTAGAGTCTACAACTTTTGATGGTAGTAAGTTGATAGAAACTGACAGTGTGTTTCCTGCTTCATCTTAATATATTCTTGTTCCTCCCTTCAACCTTTGGGATCACGGTCGAGTGTAGCCTACCATTAGATTTAATCTTTCATTTCTGTAATCCACCGCCGAAGTCGGCAGATCGCTCACCGCATCTCCTCCCGGGAAGGCTCGGGCATGTATCTTAATAGTGACATAACTAGGGTTTAGAGTTGGAACTTGGGAGGTGAGAGAGGGCTAAAACTTTAATTTAGGGTTGTTGATTTTGAAAATCAGCAAGACGAATTGAGGGTTAGGTCCAAGTTTTATTTATGGTTTGGGAATGCGAAAGAAAAATTTTGATGGAGTTAGGTAGTAGCGAATGCTAGGGAACCTTAGGGTTGGGCTAACTTTGATACTAATGATACCGGGAGAAACCCAAACCACAATGAAAACACAAATATTATTACTGAAATTGAAATCGGCTACAAAGATGAATTTTCAACATAATAATGAAGGATAACAAACAAAAAACATAGGACAACACAAACAAACACTTCAAAATTGTTTTCCAAGGGTAGGGTAGGTTGGCCCGATAGATCCGAAGGCTTGGTGAAGCAAGGGTGAATGCGGGAGAGGGGCCGACAGGGGTTGAAAGGTGGACTGAAGGAGGGAGGGAGCATGTTAAGGTGGTGGGAAGGATTGTTGGGCAGCTGGGAGGTAGATAGGAATGTGGGGTAGTAAGTTGGGAAGGTGGGACAACAACTGAGAAGGGTCGCCAACACTTTTCGGAGAGTGAACAGTGAGAGGGAAGCGCTGGCAGCAATGGGAAAGGCCGAGACAAGGTGTCTGCGGGCTGTCGGGAGGGGCCTGATTGGATTTGACAGCAGATTGCTGCAACATAAAGGGGTTTGCAGTGTAGGGGGAAGCTGTTAGGGGTGTCCTACAGCTAAGGGAAGTGGAGGAGTAGTAGGGGGACATCACTAACTCGGAGTTGGATATAGCTGGGGCACCGCCACCTCCTCAGATACATCCTACGAAAGGTAGAAAACTTTACACAGGAAATCTGAAAGTAACAAACAACTAAAAAACTAACCCTAACTCTCACTAACAAGCTGAATTTTTCCCTCAGGTCCCCGTACGGTGCGCTACATCCGCTATCCAAGTAAAAGACGCCATCTGGAATTGTGGGACTCATATTTACACGTCATCAAAAAGGAAAAATGTACGCGTTTAAGCCCGACCCAGCCCGACGTGCTTTAGGGTTACATATTATCCCGCCTTTTTGGCGTATTCTCTCCAATTTTTTTGCGTATTATTCCCTCAGAAACTTGTATTATGCATTATTCAGTAGAAAAGAAGTTTTCAAAAAAAGGTTTTTTTGGCTCAGCTAGGGTTTGGTCGCTGCATTTATGATGGAGATATATTTCTCTTTTAATGAAGAGTTTGAGCACATAGATGATGAAATGAATGTCAACGTCTTTGAAACGGAGGTAAGATGTCTTGCTTACTTTAATCCGTCTCTCGTTTTCCCGAGAGTAACCCAACAATCACCTAAGAATAACCCGAGAAAGTAATCCACCAGATCTCTTAAAAAAAAATGAAATTTTCTGTGAATTTTCGATTGTCGTTAGGTTATTTCATCATTATTTTGTGGTTCAGATTATTTATTTTCGGGTTGATTGAAGAAATACTCAATAACCCGAGAGTAACCCAACAATAATCTAAAAATAACCCGAGAAAGTAATTCACCGAATCTCTTAAAAAAAGTGAAAATTTATGTGAATCTTGGATTATCGTTAGGTTATTTCATCATTATTCTGTGGTTAGGGTTATTTATTTTCGGGTTGATTGAAGAAATACTCAATAATCCGAGAATAATCTAAGAATAACCTAAGAATAACCCGAGAAAATTAACCTACCAGATCTCTCAAAAAGTAAAATTTTCTGTGAATCTTCGATTGTCGTTAGATTATTTCAATATTATTCTGTGGTTAGGGTTATTTATTTTCGGGTTTATTGAAGAAAGACTCAATAACTCGAGAATAACCGGAGAATAACCTAAGAATAACCCGAGAAAATTAACCTACTAGATCTCTCAAAAAAGTAAAATTTTCTGTGAATCTTGGATTGTCGTTAGATTATTTCATCATTATTCTGTGGTTAGGGTTATTTATTTTCGGGTTGATTGAGGAAATACTCAATAACCCAAGAAAAACCTGAGAATAACCTAAGAATAATCCAAAAAAATTAACCCACCAGATCTCTAAAAAAGTGAAATTTTCTGTGAATCTTCGATTGTCGTTAGTTTATTTCATCATTATTCTGTGATTAGGGTTATTTATCTGACTATCTCTATTGTATAATTCAAATTTGTAGATATCTAGGCCAGAAACAAATTGCAATGATCCAATTGCTCGTAACTTTCTTAATACTGTTGTCCGTAATGAGGAAGAGACTTACAAACATTCTTGT